GGGGCGCTCGCCCGTGTGCAGGCGCTGGTGCCGCAGCAGCGCGGCGTGGTTGGCCAGGCTCTTCCCGCAGGCGGCGCAGATGAACGACCCGTTGTTCTTCCTCGTGTGGCTCTGCTGGCGCACCAGGAGGTTCCGCTTCAGCCGGATGCTCTTCCAGCCCAGCGGGAACATGCGGGGCTCTTCCCCCGCGGCACACGGCCGATCCTCTTCCAAGCTGGGCTGTGCCAAGGCAGCTTCTGTGTTGGTTTCCTCTCCCAGCTGGATTCCCTGGGGCAAGGCGAACTGCTGCTCAGTCCCAACACTGTGCGCATGCTCTGCTGGGAAAGCCAAGGCTGGAGCAGGGCGAGCTTCCGCCGGGACAAGCAGGGGCTTGAATTCAGGCTGGGCAGCGTGATGTTTGCAGAGCTCCCCTAGGCCGTCTCCTGTTCCCTTCCGCTCATCCGAGCCAGAGTGACTCTCCCAAGGCACTGACTGCTCTTGGCTCAGGGGAGCCTCCTCTTCCAGTCTTACTGAGGACGTTCGTGGCAGAGCCAGGATTTCAGGTCTTTCCTCCGGTGGCTGCTGCTCCTCTGTCTTGATCACGATCTTCTCACCTGCTGAGAGACAGCAATTCATTCCCAGCAAAGGAAAGCTCTCAAATGCCAACAGCCCAAATTCAGGAGGAGTTGCTGAGCTTCCTCTGTAGCACGTTGGCAAGACAACCCAGAAATGTGCCGTTAGAAAGTGAGCAGAAAGATTTTTACCATGACCAAAGAAGGAGAAGGATACATGAGGTTAAGGGGTCTTTGGCATGTTTTTTTTTTTTTGGGGGGGGTGGTAATCTGGTTATCTTGTTGAACTTCAGGGTCACCCAATGTCCTGACAGTGCGATACTCTTAAAGAAGCCAAAACAGAAGAATATGAAGGCAAAGGTGAGGCTGCAGAGTCATTTGTCCTAGAAGGAGTCTTTGTCAGAAATGGCAAAGTTTAGGTGGGTCAGTCCGGGAAACAGGATCAAAACAAAGCCTTCCAGGAGCAGAAATGAGCGTCTGTCTGCAGGTGAACAGCCGCAGAGCCACACTCGCATGCGAAGTCTGGCCACAGACATCCCAACCTCCCTCCAGAGTTTTCCACTCTCTTTGGCAAGTAGGTTGTTCTAGGCTTAAAGATTTGGTCTTAAAAGTTTTAAAGAGGCCCCCTCCCCCCAAAAAAAAAAAAATCCGAACAGCTTGTGTCCCTGTGCAAGACTGGAAATGACAGGGCTCTGATGCGTTGTTGGAGACACTGCCACTGTCTCTGGTGGGACAGGCACAGGCACTGGCTGCGCTGGGCCCTCTCTGCAGGGAACTGCTGAAGGCTATGAAGCAGGGTCCTCAGTGAGCAATGTCTAACTTCCATCTCACTTTGGGCAGGTACCAGAGGTGCGTGAGCAACAGCAAAGCAGGCACATTCAGCCTAAACCCTGCTCGGCTCAGACGGGATGCTCTCCTCTGCCCTAGGAGAGGAGCATTCAGTGTGGACCCTTCTAGATTTCTTTCTCTCTAAGGTGTTTTCTCCTCAATTCTTAATTCCCACTCAACCGTCTAATGGGACCCTTAACCACCTCCTGGCATTCATTTTGGCTTGCTTCTTAATGCTCTTTCCCAGCAATTGCTGCTGCGCAGAAGCATGTGGCGGCTGTTGTAACTCACCAGAGCCGAGGTGCCCAGGGACGGCTCCCTTCTCCAGCAGCCCCTGAGTCCTGGGACCCGACTCCTCCTCGTCTTCACCTGACGACGGCAGAGTGGGTTTGGAGCTGGTGTCACCCGGTCCTAGGAAGGAGGAAGCGGTTGTATGAACGGCTGACGCTGAGGATTGGCACCAACCCCCTTTGTGGCACGAGACAATGATAAAGGGCTGCTCCTGCACAGCCGGAGCCGTGGGATGCTTGGCAGGGTCCCGGGTTCCCAAAGCAGTGGCTTGGGTTTCCCATGACAGTCAGAGCGACCAGGCAGCTAAACCAGGCAAATGATTTCAGTTACCCCAAAAGAGTCAACTGTCAGGCACTCATCCTTTGAAATCTCAGCCATAAATAATTAGCGCTAAAATTTAGGACTGTCCAAAGCAAGTCCCTACGAGGCGGTAAATATAGAGCCCACGTCCTGGGAAACACTGACAAAGGCCTGACGCAGGAAAGCAGGTTGCAGGACACCGCATAAGCGCTTCACTTGAAATCCATGCTGTGTACGGTCCCGAACACGCGGGAAGGGCTCCCGTCTCTAGTCCAGAAGACGCTGTGCTAACTCCTGGCACTCCGGCGGGACGCCCAGTCCTCCTGAAACGTTCCTGCCGGGGCGAGATCTAAGAACTGGCTTGAGCATTTACACTGTCTGCACCCAGCTTTTGCAAACCAACCTCACGGGAGACTTCCCAAAGACCAGATCACGGGTCATGGAGAGCAGCACGCAGAGCTTGGGCCTGTACGTGGCCGCCAGTGCTAACGAACACCAGCAACGATTGCTCACAGGGGCAAGGCCTCGCACTGCAAGCGCCAAAGTCAGGGCTGGCAGAGGGCCACATCCCGATAGTGCCTGAGGACTCTCTACCCTTACTGACATCACTGCTGGGGCTGTGCGTTTGCAAGGTGAGATTTTCTCCAGATGCACAGGCTGAGCATGAAGTAAACCTGTCACCCATGACCAAGGAGCACCAAACCTTAAACGTAAAAAGGCTTCATCTCTCACTACCTCTTCTCCGCCAGCCTTCCACCCAACAGCCTACAAACAGCCTTGAGCTCGATTCAACCCAAAAGTTTCCGAAAGGCGAGCAGAGACTGATCCTCACCAAGAGAGACCACAGCCTCGTAACTCCCCTTCATCGCAACCTTGAAGAGCTCCTTCTGCCGGTTGTCCAAGCTCCCCCACTCCTGCTCAGGCAAACTGATCGCTTCGTCCTCACAAGCTGCTGGGACCTGAAACCCCAGAAGACGCTTCTTAGCGCTTCCCCACGTCGTTCGCCTCCCACACGAGAAATCCCCACCGCTCCCACGATGCCCGCAGAAAGCCAGACGAGGAAAATAAAACGTAGGTGTCTCTTCCCCTCCAGAGCTCCCAGAGAAAAGAGCCGCTGGCAGACACTGAACTCAGGGACCAATCTCCAAACTGCAGAATGAGGCTCCCTCCTTCTCGCTCGGTTGTTTCCCTCCACCCACAGCTCCCATCGCTGATAGATCCGCAAGCACCCATCCTTCCCTTTATCCACGCAAGCTGCTTCTAACGCGGGAGGACGACAGAGGGGAGGGAAGCCCTCTCTAGGAGCGAGGCTACTAGCGGGGACCTAAAAAGACTGCAAACGCTCAGGGTTTTCCTGTTTCGTTCCTCCTGTTCGTTGGGGACAGGAAAGAGCAGAAAGCTCTAGCTCTCACCGCAGCCCCAGCGCGCCAGCCCAGGGCCACCGCTCGAGGCGCAGCAGGGCTGGAGGAGCTGAGCGTCCCCGCCACCCTGGCCTGCCTCCTCCCCCCCGAGGAGCCCGCGCTGCTACCCACCC